ACACCTGCTCCCCATTCACACTTGAGACCTTGTAACACTAACAAGTCACATGACACCAGGGAGGGAAAATGGCTAATTGGGCCCAATTTGGACATTTTCACTTGGGGGCGTACTCACTTATGTTGCCAGCAGTTTAGACATTAATGGCTGTGTGTTGAGTTATTTTGAGGGGACAGCAAATTTACACTGTTATACAAGCTGTACACTCACTACTTTACAATGTAGCAAAGTGTCATTTCTTCAGTGTTGTCAGGTGAAAAGATATAATAAAATATTTACAAAAATGTGAGGGGTGTACTTACTTCTGTGAGATACTGTATGTATATATGTGTGTGTATATATGTATGTATGTGTGTATATATATATATATATATATATATATATATATATATATATATATATATATAGTGAAGGAAATAAGTATTTGATCCCCTGCTGATTTTGAACGTTTGCCCACTCACAAAGAAATGATAAGTCTAAAAATTGAATGGTAGGTGTAGTGTAACACTGAGGGACAGAATAGCAACAAAAAATTCAAAAGAAATGAATGTCTAACAAATTATCCACTGATTTGCATGTTCATGAGGGAAATAAGTATTTGAACCCCTTCACAAAACATGACTTAGTACTTGGTGGCAAATCCCTTGTTGGCAATCAGAGGTCAGACGTTTCCTGTAGTTGGTCACCAGGTTTGCACACATTTCAGGAGGGATTTTGGCCCACTCCTCTTGGCATATCCTCTCCAAGTCTTTAGGTTTGGTGGCTGACGTTTGGAAACTTGAACTTTCAGCTCCTGCCACAGATTTTCAGTTGGATTAAGGTCTGGAGACGGGATAGGCCACTCCAGGACCTTAATGTGCTTCTTCTTGAGCCACTCCTTTGTTGCCTTGGCCATGTGTGTTGGGTCATTGTCATGCTGGAACACCCATCCATGACCCATTTTCAATGCCCTGGCCAAGGGAAGAAGGTTCTCACCCAAGATTTGACGGTACATTTCCCCGTCCATCATCCCTTTGATGCGGTGCAGTTGTCCTGTCCCCTTAGCAGAAAAACACCCCCAAAGCAGAATGTTTCCACCACCATGTTTGACAGTTGGGATGGTGTTCTTGGGGTCATAGACAGCATTCCTCCTTCTACAAACATGGCGAGTTGAGTTGATGCCAAAGAGCTCGATTTTGGTCTTATCTGACCGCAACACTTTCAACCAGTCCTCCTCTGCATCATTCAGATGTTCAGTGGCAAACTTCAGACGGGCCTGGACATGTGCTTTTCTTGAGCAGAGTGACCTTGCAGGCACTGCAGAATTCAATCCTTGTCGGTATAGTGTGTTACCAATTGTTTTCTTGGTGACTGTGGTCCCAGCTACCTGGAGATCATTGACAAGATCCTCACGTATAGTTATGGGATGATTCCTCACTGTTCTCATGATCATTGACACTCCACGAGGTGAGATCTTGCATGGTGCACCAGACCTAGGGAGACTGACAGTTGTTTTGTGTTTCTTCCATTTGCAAATAATTGTACCAACTGTTGACACCTTCTCACCAAGCTGCTTGGCGATAGTTTTGTAGCCCAGTCCAGCCTTGTGTAGGTCTGCAATCTTGTCCCTGACATCCTTGGACAGCTCTTTGGTCTTTGCCATAGTGGAGAGTTTGGAATCTGATTGTGTGATTGCTCTTGTGGACAGTTGTCTTTTATACAGGTAACAAAATGAGATTAGCAGCACTCCCTTTAAGAGACTACTTCTAATCTCAGCTTGTTACCTGTATGACAGACACCTGGTAGCAAGAAATCCTGCTGAATAATAGGGGATCAAATACTTATTTCCCTCACGAACATGCAAATCAGTGCATACTTTGTTAGAAATGCATTTCTTTTTCATTTTTTGTTGCTATTCTCTCTCTCAGTGTTACAATACACCTACCATTTGATTTTTAGACTGATCATTTCTTTGTGAGTGGGCAAACATTCAAAATCAGCAGGGGATCAAATACTTATTTCCTTCACTGTATGGATACCCATAAACATGAGATGACTCAAAATAGTTAGGGTGTCAAACATATGTGCTTTGTGGGCCCTCAAGCAGGCTGGTTACCCACTGTCACTTACAGTATGCACAGAGCAGCCCTAAACCTCCTCTTCTCAGGTCCTCTGCCTGTGCTCTCCACTCCTCCTCTTCTCTGTGAGCCTCCATAGGAATTGCTTCTTAAAGTGGCACATGTGCGGGCTCACTCCCGTGCTGGGTTGTTTGTGTCCATTGACATACACATTGTGGCTCAGTCCTGAACCCCCTGCTCAGTCCTCAGTGGATTTGACTGACCGCAGCAGGAGCCAATGGCTCCCGCTGCTCTCTGCCTTAACTGCATAGAATGCATTAAAGTACAAAACCACTTTAAAAAAAATTAATTAAAAAAAAAAATTTTTTTTTTTTCTTCAAATATACCAGAATAAGAATCACACCACAGGGCTTCTATAATCCTTCTATTCATCTTCTGTCATGTGTAGAAGACATGAGTATTACTGCGTACATGGTAATCATGACAAATTTTCTATAATTTGCAGCAAATGCTTGTGGAGGGATTTAATGGATGTAATGTCTACTTATCAGTCACAATGAGTGTTGGAAAATCATTTCAGACACAAACGTCTGGAAAATCATCCTTTCACGACACACTTCATTGTCTATTTCCGTGTATTTTATTGTTTCTTTTATTTAAATAAAGGTTACATGAGAGCTCAACCTAAAGCTGTTAATTTACTTTTGTCTTGGGGATGGTCTTGATGGGCTAACCTTGTGGCAAGTATCTGAAGATACAGAGCATTATTGCCTAAACAATTTCCCCTTCTTGCTGTTTACACTGCTATGTCTGCTTTTGTTTAAGGTATTCCTAAGAGAGTCGGTAGAGCCATGACACTGTGCCTATTGTTTGCAAAAAAGGGGAGATTTCCAGCAATTGTTCTTCATAATCTCTGAAGAAGAACATAATTTATATTCAAGCAAATACTAACAAAACGTGATTTAAAGTGGTTTGTAAAGGCAGAAGGTTTTTTAAACTTTATGCATTCTAGGCAGCCTCCCTCTAATACTTACCTGAGCTCAATTTAGCGATGTGCATGGGAGCCTTCGCTGTCCCAGGGTTCTCTCTCCTCATTGGCTAATGCAGCAGCGGAGATCCTTCTGCTCTCTCTCACAGCTAGTGAGCCATTGAGGAGAGAGCGTGGAGTGGCACCAAGACACGCTCTGTGTGTGAATGGGTGGTGTCCTTTCACAGGAGTATTGCTTGGGAGCCCCCATAGAAATGAGTTACACTGTTTGTTTATGGATGCACACAGTTTGGCTCAGAAATGGTCTGCAGAAGTGCCTCCGTAGCAAGCTGCTTGCTTTGGGAGCACTCGCCGAGGAGCAAAGAGCGCCTATGGTAGACTCCAGCAATGGATGAACAGAGAAGGACATAACTGTAGTATAGCCTGTATGGCACCCTTCGCGCTCTACAAAGATACAGAGGGAGGAGAGAACATAGCCACCCAGGGACATGAAGTGTCTTATTTGCATTTTATACCAGGTCCATGTAAAAGAAATAATGACAAATAATGCAGCCTTGTAATATAAGGATTAGATTAGATGCATTTTAAATTTGGTAGGGGTCTCATTTTATTTTTTAATTTTTTTTTTTTGAAGAAAGATTAGTGGGTCCCTCTCTCAAGTGTACAATTATCATATATGAAAACATCCCTTTATCCTACAGTCTTAACGCTAAAGTTTGAAACTTTTATGTATAGCATATAAACATGCTTTTAACCTACAGCAATTGAATATGAAATGGAAAAATATTTATACATTCCACCACACTGGAGGATGAACACTTAAACTAAAAAAACTCTAGGGGTGTAAATACTACGTTAACACTTTGAGCGAAACATTTCCCAGTAATCTATTTGTTAAAAAACATAGCTGAGTTTTTGCAGTTTACAACTTTCGCAGTACAGTCATCTACTTTCTCAGTGCTGCTTCTCTGTACATCTGGTCTTCACAGGAGTTAACATTGGACAGTGCAGTCTCCTCCAGTCAGTCTGCTTGCTTAGAGAAGAGCAGGGGGAGCAGAGGAGTGCCTTGACATCCTGGGTTGTAGGACTGTGGGTTTCTATGGATGCATACAGCATAGAGATGCACTGTTATTGTCTGAGTGGTTCCTTTCTCTTGCAGTTTGCTATGGAGCCACCCTTGCATGTAGAGACACAAGCAGTGTCTTCCCAATCTGTAGGCCTGGTACAGTAGTCATGGCACCATCTTAGGCTTGGTTCACACCTATGCAGTTTGCGTTTTATCTGTTTCTGCAGTGCGTTTTTACACATGCATTTTTGACGTGTTTTTGGTACGTATTGCAGGTTTTTTTTTTTTTTTCCTTTTTGCTAGGCAGATTAAAACGCAAATCGTCAAAAGCGCATCAAAAATGCATATAAAATGCACCACTTGCTTTTCTGCAGTGTCTCCATTAAACTCTATAGAACCAAAAACACAATGTTTTGCGTTTTAAAAAGTCCCTGACCCTTTCCAAAAAACGCACTGGGTGAAGATGTGAACCTGTCCCATAGGAAATCATGTTAAATGGACTGTAGTGCGTTTCTGCAAAACGCAGCGGAAAGCACATAGGTGTGAACCTAGACTTCAACAGGAACATAGGAAAGGATTAAAAGCTGCGTTCTCAGAAAGTGATCCATTCAGCTGCTGAAAGTACTTAAAATCTGAGTGTTTACTATCATTTTAATACTCAAATTTTCTAACGTTTTAAATTATAAATCACTGTAAGTCTTTCTTAAATTTATTGTTTTGGATTATTTATAGGGTTTTTTTTTATTACATGGCTGATATTCCAACGTTGCTTTCTTGATTAATAAGTAGGTGTTTTATAACGTTGTATAACATTGTCTTACATACTGTCATTGAGTCTTTCTGGTGCTTTGGCGGGTAATGATACACATTTCATGTTCTAACTATGCAGGTGAACTTCAAACCAAAAAAGAAGAGCTACAAGGCCAAAATAATTTGCAGGATGATGAAACAAGTAAAGGCTTTCCTGTAGATGAGGGCTCTTTAATTTCACTAATTGATGTGAACTCACCTTTGCCAGAAGAGCATCTTTCTCCAAAGCAGGAACAAGATGACGTGGTTTCTGATCTTACCCAGGCTGTTCAACAACCATGTGGTATGTAACAAATTGCACAGATTCCTACTTCAAGACAGCAACTATGAGAAACAATATGGCAACAGCTGGCTCAACTGTCCAATATCAGCGTACATACAAATGGCTTACTTAGAAATTTCTGTTGCATTTGACAAGTATATTAACCGCATAAGGACCGCCCTATAGTACATTTACTGCTACAGGGTGGCCCTTGTGCGTAGGATCACACACACATATATACAGTGGGAATCGAAAGTTTGGGCACCCCAGCTAAAAATTTGTATTAATGTGCATAAAAGAAGCCAAGGAAAGATGGAAAAATCTCCAAAAGGCATCAAATTACAGATTAGACATTCTTATAATATGTCAACAAAAGTTAGATTTTATTTCTATCATTTACACTTTCAAAATAACAGAAAACAAAAAAATGGCGTCTGCAAAAGTTTGGGCACCCTGCAGAGTTAATATCTTGTACTGCCCCCTTTGGCAAGTATCACAGCTTGTAAACGCTTTTTGTAGCCAGCCAAGAGTCTTTCAATTCTTGTTTGAGGTATCTTTGCCCATTCTTCCTTACAAAAGTCTTCCAGTTCTTTGAGATTTCTGGGCTGTCTGTCACGCACTGCTCTTTTAAGGTCTATCCATAGATTTTCAATTATGTTGAGGTCAGGAGATTGTGAAGGCCATGGCAAAACCTTCAGTTTACGCCTCTTGATGTAATCATCCGTGGATTTCGAGGTGTGTTTTAGGATCATTATCCATTTGTAGAAGCCATCCTCTCTTTAACTTCAGCTTTTTCACAGATGGCATCAAGTTACCATCCAAAATTTGCTGAAATTTTATTGAATACATTTTTCCTTCTACTCGTGAGATGTTCCTTGTGCCACTGGCTGCAACACAACCCCAAAGCATGATTGATCCAACCCCATGCTTAACAGTTGGACAGAGGTTCTTTTCATTAAATTCTGTGCCCCTTCTTCTCCAAACGTACCTTTGCTCATTCCGGCCAAAAAGTTCAATTTTAACCTCATCGGTCCACAGAACTTGTTTCCAAAATGCATCAGGCTTGTCTATATGTTCATTTGCAAAGTTCAAACGATGATTTTTGCGGTGAGGACGTAGAAGAGGTTTTCTTCTGATGACTCTTCCATGAAGACCATATTTGTACAAGTATCTCTTTATAGTGGAATAGTGTACCACAACTCCAGTGTCTGCCAGATCTTTCTGGAGGGATCGTGCAATCAAACATGGGTTTTGAATTTTTTCTCACAATCCTGTGAGCTGTTCTGTCTGATATTTTTCTTGGTCTTCCAGATCTTGCTTTAACTTCCACTGTTCCTGATGACTGCCATTTCTTAATTACATTCCGAACAGAGGATATTGACATCTGAAAACGCTTTGCTATCTTCTTATAGCCTTCTCCAGCTTTGTGAGCGTCAACTATTTTCAGTTTCAGTTTTCTAGACAACTGCTTAGAAGAACCCATGGTGCTGATTGTTGGGGCAAGGTCAGATGAGTCTGGGCATTTAAAACCTTTGAGATTGGCATAACCTGGTCTTCCCAGACGATGATTGAGAACAATCCATGACACTGGCAGGTCTGTAAATGATGTAAATAAAATCTAACTTTTGTTGACATATTATAATAATGTCTAATCTGTAATTTGATGCCTTTTGGAGATTTTTCCATCTTTCCTTGGCTTCTTTATGCACATTAATACGAATTTTTAGCTGGGGTGCCCAAACTTTCGATCCCCACTGTAATATATATATATATATATATATATATATATATATATATACGTGATTCTGCATTTCCAGGTAGTGATGTCAATCACCGGGTCCCGGCCGGTGCTTACCCGCTGGCGCCCAGTGATTACCGGTGATCACTGACATGGAGGAGGGCTGCATTGTTTACCGACAGCCCTCCTCCCTGTCAGTTTGGGCACACTGCTGTGGATGGCTGAGCAGAGCCATCCAGAGCAGTGTGCTTACAGTGAAGCACACCCCCCCCCCCCTAGTAAAACACCATCACTCATCCCATCACACAGTTAACCCTTTGCCCTTCATGTTAACCCATTCCTGCCCAGTGCCATTAGTACAGTGTAAGTTCTTTTTTTTAGCACTGATCACTGTACTGGTGTCACTGGGGATGTCAGTGTCACAGGTCAGTTCCCCCCAGTGTCAGAATGCCCGCCACAATCCCGCTGTAAGTTGCTGATCTCCACCATAAGTCGCTGATCGCTGCCATTATTAGTATTAAAAAAATATATATATATTCCAGTATCTATACTGCCATTTGTAAATGCTATAACTTTCACGTAAACCAATTAATTTACATGTATTGGGATTTTTGTTTAGCAAAGTTTTATGCAAAATTTATGATGAAATTTGATTTTTTAATTTTTTTTTTACTGGACATGTTTAATAGCAAAATGTCCAAAATATTGTTTTTTTTTTCCTCAAAACTGCCGGACTTTATTTTTATAGCGCATAAAAATTAAAAACGCACAGGTGATCAAATACCATCAAAAGAAAGGTCAATTTGTGTGGAAAAAAGTACGTAAATGTCATTTTGGTGCAGCGTTGCTTGACCGCGCAATTGTCAGTTAAAGTAACGCAGCGCTGTAATGCAAACAGCTTTTTTAACTGCTTCCTGAATGCCCTATAGCAGAAATACTGCTACAGGGCAGCATGGGTGCGCAAAATCACTTATATATACGTGCTTTGCTATCCCATGGTTTTCACGCCCCTCCCAGATAGCTTCAAATTGCCTGTCAGTACACAGTAATCATATTTAACCCCTTGATTGCCAGGAACACGCTCATACACAATAAACCTCCATTGCTAGTATAGTGTCTGAACGGATCAATATCTTTGATCAGATCAGCACTATACCAGCGTTCACATTAGTATAGTGTCTCCAAAAACACAGCGTTAGCGGGGATCATCCCCGACACCTGGCAGCACCTGTGTTCAGCCCCTACGCTTACCCCCCGTTTTCCCCAGCAAGTGCAGTGTTACGATGCACACAAAACTGCAGTGTTCACAGAATCAGGCCTGATCTCTGCTAGCACTTGCCTGTAAATTAATTTTGATGACTCATATGCAGCAGAGTGCCAGTACTAGAGCCGCTCTACCTTTTGGTGAACTGGCGTGCACCAGCGGCCTAGTACATCCTGGTCTTTCACATACCAGCACTGCAGTATCACTTGGTGATGTGGCGAGTCCCATAAGTGCAGTACAAGCTGGTGCGGGTGGCGAGCACAAGTATTGTCCCACAACCACCAAGAGTGCACACAGTCCCGTAGAGCCCCTAGTATCCTTCCGGATGTGCTTGCAAATCCTGATTGGCAGCCCACAAATTCTGCAGCACCCGTACTTCCCCCATTTACTGCCCAATCCGGAATTCAGGTGGAACCAGCAAATTTAACTACTCCCCTTGATTTTCTGGAGCGGTTTTTCATGGAAGATCTGTATGCATTGATTGTGGATCAAAGCAATTTATATGCTGAACAATTTATCGTCGCCAACCCAAATTCAAACCTTGCCAGACTATTTGCATGGAAACCCATTACGGTTTCTGAATTAAAATTTTTTTTGGGCCTAACCCTCAACATGGGCATTACTAAAAAAAATTAATTGTAGTTGTATTGGTCCACAGACCCGATTCATCATATACTTGTGTTCTCTGCTGCCATGGCCAGGCATAGATATGAGAGTATAATGTGTTTTATGCATTTCAACGACAATACACTCTGTCGTCCTCCAGGTGACCTTGAATTTGACTGACTCCACAAAATGTGGCCCCTCCTAAATCACATTAATCAAAAATTTGCAGATGTCTATATTCCCCAGCAAAAAAATCTGCATTGATAAGTCCTTCATTAATTTTTCTGGCTGCCTTGCATTCAAATAATTTCTCCCCAGCAAGCATGCCAGATATGGGGTCAAGATGTGTAAGACTTGTGAGAGGGCAACGGGCTATACATAGAGGTTTCGGATTTACAAGGGAAAAGATAGTCACGTGGAACCCCTGGATGCCCAGACTACATGGAGAGTAGTGGCAAGATAGTATGGGACTTGGTGTCATCCTTTTTCCATATGGGGTACCACGTATACATGGACAATTTTTTTCAAGCGTGCCACTATTTAGACATTTATACAATCTTGGAATTGGCGTATATGGCACCATGCGACTTAATGTGTGCCCACCATTAGAAGTGGGTGGATGCAGGGCAGTATATTCTAATGGTGGGCATTCCACACACTTTTTTTTGCAGAGATTTCTGCTCTTTTTTTTCATTCAACCCACAGGCTGCATACAAAAAAAAAAAAAAAAAAAAAGAACATACCATATATATCCAACAAGGACCAGCGATGTACTGGTACATCACTGGACTTTGAATGGTTATACCAGGATGATGCCTACAGCTGCAGGCATCATCCTGTTTTTTTCCAGCCGGCTATTGTAAAAGCAATCTTAGTGGTTAATTAGCTGCAGGATTGCTTTTACAAGCAATGGGAGAATATGCCCGCCCCCCGCCATGTTCTGCCTTCCACGGCCTTCTCGGGCAGTCCCCTGCCATCGGGGGAACCAGAGAATGCAGCCGGAGTTTCTGCCAGCTGACCTTAGAGCTGATTGGAGACCTGAATGGTGCCAATCATCTCTATAGTCAAAGAAATCGGAAGCTACGAGCATGTCATCACTTCAGTTTCGCAGGATATAAACAGCACCATTTGTTAATTGGGAAAGCACCTGATCACACCGATCTTGGTTGGTTTGATTAGATAATTTAAGGGCAGAGGAGATATCTAGAGTCTGATAGAACCCAGATTTCTCAAAAAAGAATATATGACAATGCCCATTGAAGTTATAGGGGATATTTGCATTCCCTGTGATAGCATTAAAAATGATAAAAAAAAAATCAAAGGGACAGTGTAAAAAGTCAAAATAACTTTAAAAAAAAACACCCTCGCCCCCGAGCGCACGCATGCGCAAGCATTGACTCTGTGGCGGTATGT